CATTAATTAGCCGGTACTGGTTTGGCTCAGTGGATAGAGCGTTGACCTGCGTTCTGAAGGGTCCCGGGTTCGATTCCAGTCAAGGGCATGTACCTTGGTTGCGGGCACATCCCCAGTGTGGGGGGGTGCAAGAGGCAGCTGGTCGGTGTTTCTCTCTCATCGACGTTTCTAACTCTCTGTCCCTCTCAATTCCTCTCTGTGTAAAATCGATAAAATATATTTAAAACAAAACAAAAAAACATTAATCATTTGCCTCCAGTACACATCCTGACTGGGGACCAAACCCACAACCCTTTGGTACATGGGATGATGCTCCAACCAACTGAGCCACCTGGCCCGGGCACAGTTTTCTTATTTTATGTTTCCTTTTTCCTTGTAATTTAAAAAAAATTCTATCACTGGTTATTAAAAGTTCGCTAAAGACAGGTTCTGTATAATTGCTTTTATTTTTCTTATTGTGATATCTTATTGTGACATGAGTAATAGGTATAGAATAAATGTTGATAGATGTACATGTTGATAGATGTAGATTAATTTGCTCAGAATATCAACATTGTTAAAACCTAATAGCAGATATTGGCAAACTTTTTGGTAGAGAGCCAGTGATTAAATATTTAGACTTTGTGGATTGCATGGTCTGTGTTGCAACTACTTGTCTCCATTGTTATAGCCTGAAAACAGCCATATGTAAACACGGCTGTGTTCCAATAAAATTTTATTTACAAAAATAGGTGGTAGGCGATTTGACCTGCAGGGCATAGTTTGTTGAGACCCTTCATTTTAAGATCACTATGTCCTCAAGATAGAAATAGGTACCAATTTAGATTTGTGGAGCTTCATTCTTACAGAGTATGAAACTGGAAATTAGGTAAGTAGATCACTGCTGGGGCTTAGGATGCAATATTTCTGTCTGATGTTTATTAATTATATATTACCTTCTGCTCTACATTCTCATATCAAAGGATAATAATGAGCACAAAGATAATATACATTCTTGAATGGCAGACATTGCATTCAGCATTATCCTATTTGTAGCTCATGACAATCATATAAAATAGGTTCAATTATTATCACCATTTTACAAATGAGGAAACTGAAACTTTGAGAGCTTACATAGCTTACCCAGAGGTGGAGTTGGTACTTGAACTTGGGAGATTCTTTGCTTACATGATCATTGTAAAAGTGAGGGCTCAAGAAGACTTGAATAGCAAGATAAGATTCCATCTTTCTAGGTTTGTTTCATAGCATAGTGGTACAGATTAGAACTACCCAGAAACTGGAAGGAATGAAAAAAACTCAGTTTTGCTTCAACTTCAACTTTATTATGTTTCAGTTGCCCTGCTCCTCTTATAGAAGCCTGTTTTCCCTAGATTTGAAATGCCTCTTTTCATTCCTACTTAATATCTTTGTAATCTACATGACCAAGATCAAGTACTCCTTTCATAAAGCTTTTCTATATCACAAAACTCTCCCGATATCATTCATGTCCCTCTTGTGGCTGTTTATATTTGAACTTTATTTTGTAGTAGACATTGTGTATTAGGCTTAGTTTTTTTAATTAAATCAGTTTTCCTACTAGATCAGAAGCTTTTCTCCTCTTCTTCCTCCTCCTTTATTCTCATTCTCTTCTTCCCTTGATATATAATAAACTTCTCATGTATATATCCGTGAAATCATCACCACAATTAAGATAGTGAACATTTCTTTCACCTCCAAAAGTTTTCTTTTGTTTTTTAAATGCCTATGGCATTTTTTAAAAAGTTACTTTATTTTTTTTTTTTTGCATATCTCAACAAGCTGATTTTATTTTATTCATTTACTAGAGGCCTGATGCAAGAAATTTGTGCAAGAGCAGGCCTTCCTTTCCCCAGCTGCCGGCACCAGCTTCCCTCTGGCACCTGGGACCCGGGCTTTTCTCCCAGCTCCAGGTCTTCCAGAAGGATGTCCAGTCTAATGAGCATATTACGCTTTTTTTAAATTATAGCTTTTTAACATTAAATTTATTGGAGTGACATTGATCGACATAATCATATAGGTTTCAGGTATGAGTTTCTGTGTTATAAGATTTGTATATTGCACTGTGTGCCCACCACCCAAAGTCAGATCTTCTCCTATCACCATATATTAGGACCTCCTTCTCCTCCACTCCCTTCCCTCTGGCAACCATCACACTGTTGTGTTCATAGGTTTTAGTTTTATACCCCAAATATGAGTGAAATCATACCATGGCTCTTAGCTTTTCCTGACTGACTTATTTCATTTAGCATAATATTCTCAAGGTACATCCATGTTGTTGCAAATGGCAATATTTCATCCTTCCTTATGGCTGAGTGGTATTCCATTGTGCATATGTACCACATTATTTTAATCCATCCTCTATCGCTGGATACTTTGGTTGTTTCCATGTCTTGGTTACTCTAATGCTGCAATGAACACAGGGGTGCATGTATCTTTGCAAACACATGATTTGGAGTTTTTCAGGTATATACCCAGAACGATTGCTGGGTTATATGGTACTTTATTCTTAAATTTTTGAGGAATCGCCAAATTGCTTTCCATAATGTTGTAGCAGTCTACATTCCCACCAGCAGTGAATGAGGGTTCCCTTTTTCCCACAACCTCCCGACACTTATTATTGCTTGTCTTGTATGGCCACTCACAGATATGAGGTGGTGTCTCACTGTAGTTTTGATGTACATTTTCCTAATTGCTAGTGAGATTGAATATCTTTTCATATATCTGTTGACTGTTTGTATATCTTCTTGGGAGAGGTGTAGATTCAAATCAATCCTGAGAAAAAAGAACAAAGCTGGAGGTTTCAGGCTACCTGACTTCAAATTATACTACATAGCTACAATAATCAAAACAGCATGGTACTGGCAGAGAAACAGACACAGAGATCAAGAGAACAGAATAAAGAGTCCAATTATAAAACTACATGTATATGGACAGGTAAATTTTGACAAAGGAGCCAGAAACACAATGGAGTAAAGGTAGTCTCTTCAATAAATGGTACTGGGAAAATTGGAAAGCCACATGCAAAGGAATGAAACTAGATTACAGTTTGTTCTCATGTACAAAAGTCAATTCAAAATGGACCAAAGACCTAAATATAAGATCTGAAACAATAAGTTACATAGAAGAAAATATAGGTACCAATCTTATGGACCTTGATCATAGAGAACATTTAATAAACTTGACCCCAAAGTCAAAGGAAATAAAGGCAAAAATAAATGAATGGGACTATATCAAACTAAAAATCTTCTGTACAGCAAAAAAAATTGACAACAAAACAGAGAGGCAGCCAATCAAATGGGAGATATTTGCAAATAGTAGCTTCAACAAAAGTTTAATATCCAAAATATACAAAAGCTTTCTTAGGGCCTTTGCAATGCATCTTCTCTTCAGTCCTACCCCAGTGTAGCCACATGATCTGTCACATTTTCTAAAATTTTATATTAATACTAGAAGCCTAGTGCATAGTTGGGGTCATCTCGGCTTGGTTTGCGGGGATTGAGTCAAAACCAGCTTTCAACATTCCTTGAGAAGGTCCCAGGTTGCGAGAGGGCAGTTCTCTGGTGCCACACCCTGGAATCAGGCTCCCCCCTCTCTGGTTCCAAGGCAGGTCACTGGAGAACTGCAGCTGCCAAGTCGTCACCACAGCTTAGCAGCTCCTGTGTTGAGTGTCTGCCCCCTGGTGGTCAGTGCACATCATAGTTACTGGTTGGAGAGTCTGCTCCCTGGTGGTCATTGTGCATCATAGCTACTGTTCAGTCAGACAGTTGCTTAGGCTTTTATGTATATAAATACTCATATAGTATACATTATTTTTGGTTTTGTTGAATTCATAATTTTGAGGTTTATCTTTGTACATATTAGTGATTCATTTTTTTTTATTGCTGTGTAGAATTGCATTGTATGGACAAACCACATTAAAAAAAATCATTTACCTATTGATGGACATTTAGATAATTTCCAGTTTTTGACTATTATAAATAAAACCATTAAGCTTTGTGCATAAGTGTTTGTATAGGCATATGGTTTTATTTTAAATTGGGTACATACTTGAGAGTTGAATGTTTAACTTTTTAAGAAACTGCCAAACAGTTCCAAAGAGGATGTATCAACATATATTCCCCACCCCAGGGTATGACAGATCATTTTTTTTTCACATCTTCACCATTACTGGGTACTATCTGTCTCTCAACCTTTAGCCACTTAAATTAGTGTTTATTGATAAATTGTTGTGTTTCTTTTGCAATAGAGGTGTTGAACAATTTTTTGTGTATGCTTACTGGCCTTTTGTATGTTTTGTGAAATGTCTGTTCAGATCTTTGCTTTTATTTTCATCTTGGTTTGTTTGTCAAGTTATTATTGTATTGTTAGCATTCTTTATATATTCCAGATATAAGATTTTATCTGATATATGTGTTGTGAATATTTTGTCTCCGTCTGTGGCTTGCCATTTTATTTTCTTAACTATATTCTTTGAAGAACAGACTTTTAAATTTTGATGAAATACAATGTGTTGATTATTTTCATGATTTATAGTCTTTGTGTACTAAGAATCTATTTGCTACCTCATGCTAAGAGATTTTTCTCCTATATTTTCTTCTATGTTTTGCATTTTTAGGTTTTATTTTTAAGTTTGTGATTCAACTTGAGTTAATTTTTGTGTATGGTGTGACTTAGTGTTGAGGCTATTTTCTTTTTTCCTAAATGGATATCTCATTGTTCCACCTTTTATTTAAAAGACATTTATTTCCCCATTGAATTAACTTAGCAATTACCAGCTTCTTAAATTTACATTTAGAGTTTTATTGCTACCTCAAGTTCAGATTTTTTTGTTTTTGTTGTTGTTACTTGAAGTGAACAAAATGATTAAAATTGTACTGTTCTTGCTAGGTCATAGGAAAGTGGTGATAAATTTCTCCTGATAATAAGAATTAGATTTTAACTGACTTATTGTTCTCCAGTTCAATCTGATCTTTTATTTTTAGGTGTTATACATAATATTGCGTTACTTCGAGAGGTAATAATCAACTCACGCTTTATAAAAGGAGACATCAATACTAAATTTCTTTCTGATGTATATCCTGATGGCTTTAAAGGTTTGTATGCATTAAAGTATTTTAATATAAAGATATTATTATTTATTTATTATAATGTATACTTTTTTTCTATTTTGAAATTAAGGCCTTTGGCCCATATTATACTTGATTTATTAAGATACTTAGAATATCTTAGACTATTGACAGTTATGCTTTTGAGTATTCCTGAGTAATTCACAAATGTATAATCTATAATTTTGTTGAGTGAAGAATTAAACTATGTGGAATGTGTACTAGCACAGTTTTGAAGCAAACAAATAGGCAGAGGATTAGCTTACCTGATTTTCTGATTTCTGCAAGTCAGAAGAGTTCTTTAGGAACTGGTCTTTAATAATTAAATACTGTATATGTATGAAAATTAGTGCTGAGAATTTCAGAATACCAGTTGCTATTCCTGTTAATAGAAATGAAAATGTCTAAGAAGATGATGGTTTATATTCTGAAAAATTGGTTTTGACTGGAATGTGAAATTTAGTACTGCAAAGTTATCAGTGAGTGTTTCCAAGTAGTAGGAAAATTGCTCATCAAGTTTGAGACAGAGAAAACCATTTAGTGAGCATTGAAAACATAGTTTAAGTGATATTAAGAAAGAACATGACTTACATGAGAATTAATAGAAATGTTATTCATGTGAAAGAAAGAAGCCTCTACATATATTTCTACTTAACTTAGGGAAATGTGAAAATTATATATTCTCTTACAAATATCGTGTTCTTTATATCCATTTAAAGTCTTTTACTAGATAAAATGTCTCAATCATTTTAGAAAGTGTATTTAGATTGAGGTCAACTTCATGTAGTTGAACTATTGAATACATTTACAAAGCAATTTCTTACCTCAGAATTTATAATACAGTATTTTCATAAGACTAAATGGAGATTATTGTTTTGATTGTTCTTCCCAAAACTTCAATTGTACAGGGTTTTATCATTAGTACCAAGAGAAATGGGGAATGTTTTTTATTTGGGAACTGAAATAAGACTAATGAATCATCAGTCTTTTTTCTGAACTGTAAAACTTTTATAAATATAAAATACAATCTTAATATATTGCAGTTTTATATTTGTGTGATTATTTCATTGATATTTATTGCTACCATGAAGTCAGGAGCCACTTATGTTATTGCTTTTTATTGTATCCCTAGTAACTACACAAACTCTAGGTTCAATCAGATATTTTTGTGTCTGCCTGGTGAATGCATCTGTGGAGGTGATATGACATGAAATAGTAGGCAGAGGAGACAGCAGGGCAAAACTTCAGGAAACCTTTTGAACAGTTAAGTAGTTAAAATGATATTCAGAAAGAACATGACTTACATATTGTATATGTATATGGGTTTTATAAATGCACACATTTACATATGTGTCTATATATATGCATATATGACATAGAGAAGAAAATGGGAAATACAATTTCTAATTGGAGTTGATTACTCTGTACTGTACATTTAGCAGTAATGTTCAAAAATTTTAAGGGAACCTAGAACCTAATATTGTAATTTTTTGTGATAAACTTAATATATTATATTGCTTTTTTTGGTAGGAAATTATCAGCACCTCACAATAATTGTGTTTATTATGCTTATAAGTTACTAGAATGGCCTTTAGCAATTTTTAACCTCAGCTTTCATTTTACATGTGACGAAGCCAAAGCACAGAGAGATGAAGGCTGAAAAAACAGTAATATGATAAAACCAAAAATTGAATTTAGAGCTTTCAACTTTTCTTTTAGTACTCATTCATTTTTGGAAGGATTTAAAGTCATAAACCACAGAACTTTCAGACTATGCTGTATGTTGTCATGTGGCCTGTAAGGACTTTAAAGTACAGGTCTATATTTACCATTCTTAATGTCTACTCTCATTTTCTCATGTGATTTTCATGTCAGTTCTTCTCTGAATGGCTACTACCTCTTGTTCTTTATCTTTAGATTACTCTCTTTCTTTCCCCCCATTTTTCTCCAGAGCAGGTTTTAAATGTATTAAACTGTGTCATTTTGATTGTTTGATATATGTGCCTGAAAGAGCAGCAGGAAGTGGCAACTGAAGTTAATCCAGGATCTTCTCCATATGTTTGAGGCAGGGTCATTTTGCCCCTTTGGGATTACCCATCTGCTTCCCATCTGTCCAGCTATCATAGCCCTATGCATACACAAGTGCCCATTTTTATAAATGCATAGAAATTTTTTATTATAGGTGTTTACTATCCCAAGATTAATTGTAGAGTAGGACAGTGTTCCTAAAGGTTCTTAGGTTGAACTTTGACATGATTGTGAGTGAAGTTTAAAAATAGGATACATAACAATTTGTTCTTCATGTCAGTTTATTTTATTTTGTTGCAAAGCTATTTTTTTCTTTTGATTAAAAAAATAAATGGAAAATGGGGATAAAGGTATTTTGATTCTGAAATAAAGAAGAAATGAGAAAGTATTTTAAAACTTATAATTTCTGTTGGGCTATAGTGAACATTTTGGATTTGTTTCTCTGCTGAATTACTACACTGAAATTGCTAGCCTCATCAAAAGAAATGGTCAAAATCACCTGAGAAGTTGAAAAATTTTTATAGACATTTAATTCAATATAAGAAGAATGCCAGTGATTATATTTCTCTTTGTATTTCTTTGCCTTTAAGAGTGGTACTATGATATATGGACTGACGTGTGGTCTTTAAAGATCCAGTCATTAAAATCATTCAACAAATAATACATGTAAGCTCTAGGAGAAATTCAAAGACAAATAATACATTTTTCGTGCTCTTGAGCTTACATCACAAGAGAAATAAACATGTAAAGAACTAATTACAGAATAAGCTAAAATAATCGCTAAGTAAAGATATAAGCAAAGTATCTTAAGAGTAGAGGGAAAAAAACACCAATTCTGATTTAGGGCATCAAAACTGGCTTCAAGGACAAGGTAGCATTTTCACTGTTGAAACATCTTTCCAAGGACTCTATTCCATAGGCTCTAGGGTTGCCAAACGCCCTGAGAGAACCACTGTGCACATCTCCTCCTAATCCATCCTTTTTGATATAATGTCTATAATGTGAAATTAGCCCAGGAGAAGAATTTACAATGAGGAAATAGGCAGATGCTGCATGCTGGGGCATCAGTGGAGTTTTCCCTTCCCTTCAGTTTCATGAGATACTGCACCTTTCAGGGTCATGAAGCTCCTCCACATAGAAAATTGTGTTGCTAATCTGGAAAGTATCTGCATTCTAATGGTGAATACTTTTAGTCATTGCTACTTTAAATGATTTTTTAAACATAATGTTTGTATTGCCTCATTTCACATTGCCTATACTGTACCATTTAATACTCTTATTATTTGTGTATAGTACTGTGGTAAATAATAGTGTTAGAAATTGTGGTGAAATTGCAACTCTAGGGGACATTTTAACCTGTAGACTCTGGAATATAGAATCCTGCCTTGACTCACACACTTTTTGAAGAATTGTGCAAATAGAGCAGATTACTCTGCTGCACAAGACTCAGCCAGACTAGGGAGCCTTCCTAAGCCTTGTTAGGCTAGACCACTGTCCCCAGGTCCATTATATTATGGTAGGAACTAAAGGAGGAAGAGAGAGAGAGACATTGGTGGGCTGATTGATTGGGATTCAAACCCTGACGGTATGCAAGAGTGTCGCACCTTTATTTTCCTTTAATTCTTCACACCACAAAACATGCCCTAGCCAGTGTCCTTTACCAGCCACACTTCTTTTCTACTTTTCCTTTATCCTCTACTTAGAAGTAAAATTTGGGTGAGGAGTGATAAAGGAGAAGCATATGTGAAGAGCCTTAAGTTTTTCCTAGAGATTTGAGTTTTTGTATGGTTTTTTTATTTGTAATTGTTTTGTTCTGTGCCTGCTTAATATCCATTTTTTCTTTCTTTTAGAAATTAGCTATAAACTTCTAGTTAGCAGGATTTTTTTTTTTTTTTTGGTCTCATTTGAATAACATTGTTCCCCCCATTTTCCCTGCAGGTTCCAATGTCTGGAATAATACTAGCTCCATAAGAGATGCTTGATAGTATACTTGTTTGAATGATTCATAATTCTAAAAGGTAGAAGCATAGATGTTGACATTATGTATTTGATTGATTGCTTGATTGATTTCCCTCAGGACACAAGTTAACAGAGAGTGAGAGAAACCAGTTATTGGCAATAGCATCATCATTGTTTGTGGCATCCCAATTAAGAGCACAACATTTTCAAGAACATGAAAATTCAAGGTATGTTAGATCATTTAAAACAAGACATGAACAGAAAAATATTAATTATCTAAAAGACAGGAAGTTACTAATGAGTGTTTGAAGTATAATAAAGTTTTAGTGCTTAAAAATAGTGTTGCTTCATTTCAGTTCAAATGAATTTTTTAAATTAAAAAAGAAAAAGGATGTCTGCCCCTTTAATTTGGACTTTATTAGAGGTAAGAAAATACTCTGAAAACTTACAGGAAGACTGTTCAAGTAATTTGTATTTATTATTTCTGGTTTATTACTTTGTTAATCTTTTTTGTTTGTTTGCTTGCTTTGTTAAACCTTACCAAAAGATATTTTTCCACTAATTTTTAGAGCAAGTAGAAGGGAGGGGGAGAGACAGAGAGAGAGAAACATTGATGTGAGAGAGACCCATCAATTGGTTGCCTCCTGCACTCACAGGATCAAATCTGCAACCCAGGTACATATTCTTGACCAGTTGAGAGCTGACATTTTATCCACTGAGCCAAACCGGCTAATGCATACTTTAATTTTGATAAAAGTTTTGAGAAGTATTATAGTAATAAAATTTAGGATGAATATTAGTAGTTTCAAAAATATTGATATGAGTCTGGCCGGTGTTGCTCAGTGGTTCAGCTCAACCTATGAACCAGGAGGTCATGGTTCAATTCTTGGTCAGGGTTCATGCCCGGGTTGCTGGCTTGATCCCCAGTATGGGGTGTGCAAGAGGCAGCCAATCAATGATTTTCTCTCATCATTAATGTTTCTATCTCTCTTTTTGCTCTTCAGAAGACACCACCAAGAAAATTATAAAACAAGATAGCAATGGCAGAATGTATTCAGAGTTATCTAATAAAGGACTTGAATATATAATACATAAATAATTGCTATGATTCAATGGTTAGCTAAACAACCCAATTAAAAAGTTTTGGCCTAGTTTCTTTATCAAATAATTTATATCAATGGCAAGTAAGTTCATGCAAAGATGTCTAACATCATTAATCATTAGATGAATCCCAGGGATGACCAAACAACTGAACAAGCAGGCTGTGTGGGCCGTCCAGGTCGGCAAGGGGGTTAGAACCCCAATACTATACTATCACACACCATTAGAATAATTTACATTAAATGGTGAGTGAATAAATAAATAGAAGACTGGTTAACAATGCAATAGAATACTGGTTAACAATAAATAAGAATGAAGTATGTTATACATGTATCGACATGCATAAATCTAAAAATAAAATCATGCTAAGAAAAAGAAACCAGCTAAAGAAGACTATGTGATTTCATTTACTTGAAATTTCTAGGAAAGGCAAAGTGGTTGCCTGGGTGTGGATGTTGATGTCACAGAATTACATCTGTATACAGAGTCAGTGCCCCACACCTTAACCCAATAATTATTCCTATTTCACCATCATCTCAGAATCCTCCTCCCCTGCTACTACTGTTAAACTCATTATACTTTAGAAGTTCCAAAAAATTATACTAATAAAATACAAAGACTAGAGCTTAGTTATGTAGATACTTGTGCACATGTTACCTGTATAATAAGCAATTATTTTATATTTGGTTAGTTTATTTCCTATTGAACTTATCATTTATTTATGGGTGGTATCAATTATTACAAAATTGATACCACCCATAAAAAGAGAGACCTATAACATCTAGATAAATACACTGGCCTTTTTTGTTGTTAATCTCCACCTGAAGATATTTTTTCCGTTGTGTTCTTCCCCCTCCTCCCGAGTGAATGGAAGAGAAGAGGGGAAGGGGGGACAGGAGAGGATAAGGAAAGGAAAGAGAGGCAGAGACATGAATATGAGAAAGACACATTGATTAGTTGAGTCATGTACTCTTGGGATAAAATCTGCAACTCAGGTATGTACCCTTAAGACTGGGAATCAAACCCATGTGCAGTCCAGCACTAATCACTGAGCTATGCCAGCCAGGACTATATTGAACTTTTGACAAAGTATAATCTTGTGTAGACAAAGTGACTTTATTTTTGTTTTTTCACAGAAGAGGTCCCCGATAGCAAAGCTGATTGTAACATGGTTGTATCCTCACATTTTGGCTTCAGAATCATGTTTTCATTATTGGCTTGGGAATCTAGTCCAGTGTTAGCCTCCAGGTGTGGCTACATATTGCTCTGTCATGGATGTGCTCATATAATGTTTATGCTTCCAAACCCAGTGGCCTGCAGCCCTTCCTTTGTGTTGCTTGTTTTGGCTGCTGATTTTATTTTCCCAATTTCTCTATGGGTTTCACTCTTTCATCATTTATAACTTGGAAAAAGACATTAAGAATATGTATTCACAGTATTTGGATAGCAAAAAGAGAGCAGTGCATTTTAGAAAAAAATGTTAATGTGAGATACAATAGCAATTTTTCTTAGGATGACTATAAACAAATTTGGTGAGCATAATTAAAATTTTACATAAATATATGCTGATTTACAATGTAGTTATTTTTCTTTTTATCTGTTCTGTTCTTAAACACTTCTATTGACAGAAATGCATCATTAAAAGTTGTGTTAAGCAATCACTTCATGTTACTTGAAGCTAAAATTATTTTGTTGGCATTGTGGTTTGGTATAATAATTTGTTTCACTAACAGTTAATGATTGGAGGAAAAAATAGTAAGGAAAACAATTGCCCCTTTCAGTAATCTTTTATTTAGTTTTGTTTAAAAAAGCCTATTTCCCTGAGGGCCAAATATTGCTCAGGAGTCAGGATTCACTTTTCTAAGCTAGGCCCTGCTCTTGCTTTACTCTAGTCCACCTCTGCCCTCCCAAGCTTCTCGGATTCAGTGAGGGCCACTCTGCCCTCTGTAGATGTCTCTACTTACTCCTTTCCCATTAGTATTTATGCGTCTGTTGCTTTATTTCATTAAGTTTTGTAATTATGCAAATTGCCCTGCACCCTTTCTTATGATTCAGCAGTTAAACTCTAATTCCATGATTTAATCTTCCTATTAAACTGTCTGACTCATTTATCACTTCTAGGGAGAGCAGGGCCACTTTCCTGGTGATAGACTGTCTGGTGTCCAAATCTCTCTTTCCTAGCAGAGGACTGTTTTGCATTACTTTGCATGGTATGGGAATTTGGCAAGGGTTGTGGCTCAGACTAAGACCTTTACTCCCTTTTGGATGTTAGTCCTGGGGGTTAAGCCATGCTGAGATAGTGGGGGCAGTTTATGTTTTCATCTATTTTAAGGCATTTGAAAGTAAATGTTGATGCAGGTTTCCTATATAATAAAGAGGTAATATGCAGATTAACCCTCATGCCCTCACAAGATGGCTGCCTACAACCAAGCCAGCAGCGGGGTTAGAGAGGGACGACCAAACAACTGAACAAGCAGGCAGTGTGGGCCGTCCAGGTCGGCAAAGGGGTTAGTGAGGGATAACCAAATAACTGAACAAGCAGACTGCGTGGGCGAACAGGCTGGCAGAGGGGTTAGTGAGGGACGTGACCTTCTCTTTTCCCTCCATCTCTTCCCTTTCCTCTCTCTCTCACCACCCACTCTCTTCTCTCTTTCTGCTTTCCTCCCTCCTTTTACTCTCTCCTTTTCCATCTCTCACTTGTGTGCCTTGCATGCACACACACAACACATACACGTGTAGGTGAGTGTATGTTAAATAAATACATTCTGTGGTTCTTTTGGCTCCTTCACCTGAAATTTCACAATGGTTGACATGATGCAGTGGAACCAGCACTGAGATGTCAAGAGTTAGGATTTTGGTCCCAGTGCTACTATCAAGTATCAAGGTGGAACTAGCCTTTGTGCAAATGTTTCAACTTCTGACACCAGTTTCCACCTCTGAGAAACGGCCCTGTTGGATTGGACAATTCCTGAAATTTTTTCAGTTCAGCTCCTATTTGAATTGTATGAGGCAGACACTTTTACTTTCTGGTTTCTACTTCAGTCTTCTATTTTTCTCTTGGTATTTGAGCAGAGGTTAAAGACTCAAGAAAAGGAACACCTTCACTCTAGGCTACGGTTACTATGCTGATGAAAATATTTCCGCCTGAAAGGTTTAAAAATGAAGCATTCACTTTGTGGAGGATTACTCTGGGTGTATGGAGTCTGTGTGTAATCACCACTTTGAGCTCATACTTTGTAGAACATATCAAGTATCTTGACTGGCTACAGAGCCTGTCATCAGTTTAACTCTTTTAGTCACAGTAGCATAATGGGAAATTATATTCACTTGAATAGCAGTCGTTGTGTCTACATTTGTATTGCATTTTCTTTTCTCATCTGGCTTCCTGATAAAATGGAGAATCAATTTTTTAGTGACTTTTACCTGACAGATGCAATTATCTGTGTGTTGATTTTTTTTTTTCTGTTAAAAAAGTGTCCTTTCTTGGTTTTAGATTTATAATTTATTTACCCATTAAGTTTTCAATTAGAAGAAAAAGTTTAAGGTTTTGAAATATGATTTTAATCATTGAAAGATATAATTGTAAAAGAAACAAAAAAATACCTATATGAAAACAAATCCCAAGTATAGGCAGGTATTTTTTATAATTATATATTGGCTTTTTTTTCTTAAATGTCTCTGAATTTAAAAGGATATATCAAATTATTAACACATTTTCACCATCTGTTACAATAAAACACAAATTTTTATTATACTTGTTTCATATATGTTCTCAAGTTAGCTACTTCATTATAACAATTGATGTTTTAATAACGGGCTGTGTAATAAAAAATAGTGCTTAGGACATATATTCACAAACATACATAATCATACTATGCCTCTGGAAATATCTACTTTCACTTGAGCAATAAATTCACTAAAAGTAGCAAAAGGAGAGAAAACATCAATTTAGTTAATTTCCTTTATGCTTGCCTTACTTTTAGTATCTCTGTTATGATATTTTCATTTATTTAATTAGACTATCCTGGATAATTTAGAAAGCTATGTGAGATTAGGCACAAAATATTGATTAAGTGGATAAAATGTTATATTTATACAGTTTTTGCTAAATATTACATTTTAAGAT